CATATGTTAGTACTATATAATGCATCATTATCAAACTTAAACACATATTCTACTTACATAATTATAGCCCTATGAACATAGAATGATAAATAAACATAGAAGATGGACAGAAGAATACCTGCCAATATGTCAAAAAAACGACTTTAAATGGTTTAGATCCAGGAGATAGTACAAAGTACTATCTTAAACATGTTAAAATTCTTGATGCCATGGGTTCCTGTCCCTATGTACCACAAAAATGTTCCTAATTTCCCATGAAAATTTATGATTATATCTCCAAGGACTTGTGAGGGTAAAGTGAAAAAAGTCTTGGAAATGTGGAAGCATTAATCCACAAGGATTTTAGAAATTACACAGAAAATAAGCATCAAGAATAGGTAACGTATTGGGAGGTAAAAGAAACACTGCTTCCTTTTTTGAAAGGTTAACTTGAGAGCCGTCAACTTATTCCGGTCATTAATTCTCTTCTTTAATCAAATAATTGTCAAGTTAAGAAACCTACTATAAGGTTATTGAAATGGGAGAAAACAGAGAAGGCTGAATATAAACCTAAGTATTCTTTGTCCATAGGAGACACTCAGTTCCCCATTGAAAAACTCACCAACACATGCTTAATTCCATGCATCCACATTATGATAGGATCATGTCAAAAAAATAAACACACTAAATATTCACAAACAAGGAGGATCGAAGTTTCAGCCCTCTATGCAAAGTAAATGGCAACAGAATATAAGAACTAAAATACAAAGATTTAGCGTGAAATATTAATACACTGTCATAGTGAATCAGTAATACGCTAATGTTGATCCAACAGATGCCAATATAGGATATAAGCCTATGAACAAATCCAGAAATAGGTCTGAGAATAGGTATGCGACATTCTATTGTTGTTATTGTTGTGATGACATGAAGCATAAAGATGACAAGGAAACATAATAGATATACAACTTGTTAGAGTCATCAATTACGAATATGCACTATAAGTAAAGTATGAGTAAGAACAGTAAGTACACTTACGCTTCGCGGATTTAATTAAAATAAATTGATCTTTCATTCAAAACAAAACTAATGTAGCTATTCTCTGAGAAACAAGGTTCACTTTTTAGATGGAGGACAAAAATTTTTGAACCCAAACTAAGATATATAATCCTCAAGTCTAAATTTTAGGCATACCTAAAGCAGTTTCAAGTAAATAATCTAATAACTTTGGGCACAAGCATCACAGCCAAGAGTCAACATCTCTTATACAAACTTTGATAGTGTTGCAAGAGCACAAAACCTGGAGACTTAATTTATGATAACTCATCTGTTTTAATCCAAGACCAAACTCATTTCACTGCAACTGATGACCTGCTGGCTAATGTATATAAAGGTTACAATTAAGGAGGATCATTTCTTTCATTTTCACTTTACAATGTGGAAGTTTAGGATGGTACAATAGTTTCAAATGGAGTTCTAACCATAAGGAACTACAAAATAAAATAATAAAGATGGCAATATGTAAATATAGTATAATCATGAATAGATCATTACAAACATTAATTATGGATGAATATATATTTGAATTAAACATTTTTACAATGTAATATTATTTGCAATAAATGAGAAACTTATGGAATCTAAACAATGGCATTAAAATAATAGTGATAAAATTGAAACAAAACAATACAAATTTCAGCAGTAAATTGAAAAGGATTTAGTACCTGACCAGTAGTTCCTTTGCCAGTTTTAAACTCCAAAGGCATAATTTTCTTCTATGAATCACCATGACTTGAACTCGTTATTATGCGAAGAGATGCATCAATCATTCCTTTCAATCCATATCTTGGTGCCCATGCCATTTCCTCAATATCTATAACCTGAATTTCCCAATGCATATGTTGCAATTATGAACTTTATATGTTTGAAACATTTAAGGATACAAATAAGGGAAACAACTAAAGGGTAGGCTGTTCATACCTTTTTTGGACTGTGGGCATGTCCAATGTGCATAGCTAATCAATCAAAATAATTAGGGTGTAGGATTATCTGTAGAAAGTGTAGTTAATTCTCATTTTTCCTTTGTGAATTAATTTTGATGTGTTTGCAATTTCTAGTAGGGTACGGATCATTAGGATACCGATATATAATTTCACATAATTAGGGCAAATCATCAAGAAATAATTTGGTGTGTATGCAATTCAAATCACTCAAAGAGGTCACCTGATTTTGGCAACAAACGATCGGACGGTGGATAGATTTGGTCGTCGTCGATGAGCGTGAAGGGAAACTGAGTTTGAGTAGGAGAACGATTCGGAGAGAGGACGACTGAGGAGAACGTGGAGAAGGGGGGACCGCCGGAGGAGGACGAGAATTTCGCCGGCTGAGGATGACGAAGAACAGAAGGGAGGAAATTTTTTTGACTAGGGTTTAGCTACGATAAGAGGGACGGAGAGATATCGGGTAATTTGGTTTTATTATGCTTTTTATATTAATTTTATTAATTTATTAGTCTTGTTATGATTAGGATTTATCATAAATGAAGGTAATACACCCCTTTGTGTTTGAGGAGGTCTAATAACAACGGTATTAGGATCAAATCAACGAAGGGACTAGAAAACCGTTATCTCATCTCATGCCATTCCTTTAATATTTGTGATAACTCGATGAAGGTTTTAAAAACCGTCGTTATTTTATACAGATTAATGACGGTCAAATGGTCCCTTCACAAATTTTGGTCATTAAAGACCTGATTTCTTGTAGTGCAACTTTTTAACTATCCACTTAAGTTGACATAAGTTTTGCTATATATATATATATGATAGTTAAATAAAGTAAATGGGTGACCCCTTCATTAAACGGGCGGGTAAAAACTCACTCATTTAGAAAATGTTAAATTAATCATAAATGGGTAAATACGTAAAACATGCCCGCCCATTTATGACTCATCCGTTCAATACCCAGACACGCCTATCTAACACCCCTAGTTGCATATGAGTGGGTCACCAGTCCGCACAACACCGAGGAGATGAACGCCGCATCTAATCTCCTTAAAAATGCTAGCCAGCTGCCGCCACCCTGAATTCTGGCACTTGCAAATGGACTAAAATGCCCCTCTACGTTTAATCACGTAGGTACCCGTTGAACTACGTAAACGTGCTTTTAACTATTGAGTCCGGATAGAGGGCACTGAGGTCATTTCGCAAGCTTGATGGCGACCCTCCGGATTTGTAACGGGAAATCTAGGGTTTAGACTTTCTCTCTCCTCTCTTTTTCTTCTAGAAGCCGGAATGGAATTGCCGAATCGGGAATCTATTATAAGTTGACAACTCGTGGTCAAAAAGAATAATGTGTCAAAATTATGTGTGAACTTAATTGGAGCATTAACAGGAGTGCGCTAAAATGGCTGCTCACCTTTCTAGGTTAACTAGTTAACTACAATGACGACGTATGAACGTGATTCGTCTTGCACTATGCAAGGATCCAAATTAATCCAGTTATATATTCGAAAATCTAAGTTAATTGATCGAGCTTTCGTAGAACAATAGTAATAAAGAGTATTTCTTTCGTATATTTGGTATCTTTTGACATGAAGATGGTGTAAATTAATTCCCTATACTTACTTTAAATCGCACTTGAAGTTCTATTATATACGACTGATTATGATAAATGTAAGGCGTCAAAAAAAAAAAAAAAGAAGTTCTACGGAACATTTTGTTACTCTTTTCCTGGACAAGCTAAAGAACCAAGTGCATTAACTAAGGTATAGGGGCCTAGAGGGGGAATGTCAATTCCTAAGCTATGGAGATGCCTATGTTTTACTCAAAATTATCATTGCAATCTCCTCTCTTTAAACTATATATATATATCTTAGCGGGGCATCTACGATGTGCATGTTTATTCTTTGAGACTAGCTAATCAAGTACGATATTCACTAGCTTCTCATTTTCTTTCTTTCTTTTTTCCCCCTTAAAAAAATGTAAATTGAAGTCTTACCATGTCGCTATATATGGATGATGTGGTTTTGCATAATGTGGTAGTGGAGATTATCCTAATGTTGTTGCTTGATTAACGATCCGCAGCGTGAAGCGTATATGTCTGGAAGTTGTCAATTAATGGGTGTAAATGGGTGTAAAGACAGTAAAGTATCTCAATTGTTGATTTGCTTAGTGGGTGATTGTGATGTTTGTATTTTGGTGTAAACTAGAAATAAATGCAATTCAAAGGGGACTATGATTAGTGCTATATTTATAATGAATTGCAATCATTCACTAGACAAATCAACGGTTGTGACTCGTGTCAAACCAGTGGCCTCTCCAATTGTACCTAATATGTGCTTACGAGATGTGAATACAATTCCTTTGATATCATCTTAAAATATCTTATATTTTATTGGCATCATCATCTTAAAATACCTCATATTGCATCAACACTTCAAATTTTTTTTTACAACGATTAAGGATTACAATTTTACATTATGAATACTATCATTCCAAGTGTAAAATTTAGATTTCCGAACTGAAAGATTTTAACATATTTTATCCAGGTATCATCAAAGTCGAAACTGTAGAAAATTTTTCTTTTGTTTGTAAAATTGTTTAATTTATGCCCTTGATATAGGATAAAAGGCACGCTGAGATCTTGGAAATTTTTGTTTCTAGATAGTTTACGGACATTACATTCAGCAGTATATATTTTCAATTTAGAAATATAAATTTCGCATAACATTATTCATATAGTGATTACTAGTCATCTCCATTAGTAACTATCAATAACTTTTTGTACATTACAGTAGGTTATTTACATGTGTACACACGCTAAAGATCTCCATAGGTCTATCTGAGAAAAACACGTAACTACTTTTATAATTTTTTAAAATTTCTCTTGCGTAACCCAGACAGGATGCCCATTGAATATTAGGCAATAACGATATCCGAACATCCTGTTTACATGATTAACCCCTCCCATTGTTTTCTACGCTCAAAAAGCCCCTCTCTTCACCAATGATTCCCTTCCACCAAACTCTTTATGCACTTCCATAACTTCGTCGACTCCCACTCTCCTCCCCCTATATATATACATATAACCCTCTATCCCCCTCTCTCACCCACATTCAAATCTCTCATAAACAAACCCTTCCTCCTCTGCTTTCCTCTGTTTTTAGCAAACCATGGTGGTCCTTGCAAATCCACCCACTGAGCAAATCTCCATCATAAAACCTCAAAAACCCCATGCTTATTTCTCCGGGGTCCCCGTTATCGATCTCTCGACGCCCGGAAGTGATGCGGCCATCGTTAGAGCCTGCGAAGAGTTTGGCTTCTTCAAAGTAACCAACCACGGAGTCTCGAAGGAGCTCATGGCGAAGCTGGAAGCAGAGGCCGTCAAGTTCTTCTCTTTGCCTCAGTTTGAGAAAGAGAAAGCGGGGCCCCCTAATCCTTCTGGTTATGGGAATAAGAGGATTGGGCCTAATGGAGATGTGGGTTGGGTTGAGTACCTTCTCTTCGAGATTAACTCTAAGCCCATGTCCTCAGTTTCTCTTGCCTTTCTCAGAGAGCCTCTGGCTAGCTCATTTCGGTATTAAACGACACTTTTCTCCTTTTTCTATTGTTATTATCATTTCTTGCAGATTTGTGAAAACATTCTGAACCCTTATTTCTGTCGAGGAAAAGAGGAGAAGATATTTTCACTCTCTATAATTTTATGATTCGATCATGGAAATATTAGGAGATAACTGCGGTCGAAAACATGGATTATCACTGCATTTTGGCAATGCAGAGGATCCAAATCCATTATAAAAACAATTCATGAATACTACTGTTTCCTTGATCATATATAATAGTCATTTCCAATTTTTCCTTTTTTTCCTTTTTTGAAGATACTCTTTTTTTTGTTCTTTTTTTATTTTTGTCGATGCGAGCCCTGTTCGGGCTAATACACCCTTTACTCCTCTTTTAAAGTCGGAACAATGAAAAGTATACCTACTATTAACTATGACGATTCGTCAAAATCCTTCGCAAAAAAACCCTTTAATTTATTTTTAAAACCCCGATATGAATAATTTACTTTTTTTCTATCAGAATTAGTCATTTCCTAAATTAATTTTCTAGAATTTTAAACAAAATTTTCCTCTCTTGTGATTTTGTTGCAGCTCTGCCTTGAATGAGTACATATCAGCAATAAGGAACTTGGCTGCTGAAGTACTGGAGCTAATGGCTCAAGGGCTGGGCATGAAACAAAGAGACATATTAAGCAAGCTCGTGATGAGTCAAGACAGTGACTTAATGTTCAGGCTCAATCACTATCCTCCATGTCCAGTGCTTAAAGAGCTCAACTGCAACTTGACAGGATTTGGAGAGCACACGGATCCTCAAGTGATCTCAATATTGAGATCAAACAACTCTAATGGCTTTCAAATTGCTCTCAAAGATGGAGGATGGGTCTCTGTTCCTCCAGACCAAGACTCTTTCTTCATTAATGCTGGAGACACCTTGCAGGTAGATAGATTTTAATTCCCTTATTTAGTTTTTTTTTTTCTTCCCATTTAATTTGCTCTCTTTTATTGAATTGGAGTAGTAAGAGGAAATAATGAAAGTGTCATGCATGTTGTCTGCATTTCATAGGACTACCCTCTGTGATTTTACTGTTCCTTATGGTCCCATTCGTACGCTAGAATGTACGTATACCCCTTCAATTTCATTGATACCACTGAGGTGAAGATTACTACCTTAGAATGTTAGGTGTATAATCCAAAAAAAAAAAAAGGAAAAGGAAAAAGAATGTTAGGTTTAAAAATGTTTCTGAAGGCATATAGAAGAATAAAATGGTCTTTGAATATATATATATAGAGAAAAACTTATGTCAACTTAAGTGGATCATTCATCAAAGGTTTTATCCATTGATGAAAAATCTCTTCATATGATGCACGGATCTCTAGGTATCATCAATGGATAGAAACTTTAGTGGATGGTCTACTTAAGTTGACACAAGTTTTTCTCTCTTTGCCTGAATTTAAAGTTCATTTACCAGTAAAAAACGGCATGTACGTTATATTGAATTTATAAATTTGTTTTTATGTACAAAGGGTAGAAAATAGAAACTAATAGCCATCTCGTTTAGTTTTCTTCTCGGATATGTGTAGAATTTATGGGCTTATATGGGTAATAAAAAATGCCTTAGGGACCCAAAAACATGGGATCCTACATGGGACATGTGAGGTGCCGGCTCCATATCCCGTGATACATTGTTCATGAATAGTGCATCATGTGACATGGAGCCGGCATCTCACCTGTTCCATATAGGGTCCCATGTTTTTGGGTCTCTGTAACACCGCCCATGAGTAATATATGCACGCCATTAATATCTCTGTCTTTTAAAATATTTTATTGAATTTAGAATATACTTTTAGATACCGAAATTAGAGCATGTTCCCACGGGGCTTGCCGATTGGAGCTAATTCATTGCGCGGTCTTCGTTCCGGTTTAGATGCTTTCGACCGAGTATTTTTTAATGTAAAAACATATAAAATGTATTTATAATTGTTATCATATATTTTATTGTTTAGTTGTATTCTTTTTAAAAATCAAAATATGAATTTTTAGCAAGTGTCACGCAAACGTAATTTTTATTTTGAAAATGCTGTGGTGACCGCGCCTTCATGCATAATTTCACGCACTTAACAATTTCGTGCAAATAATTCATTTTTAATAAAGAAATATACTTCGCCTCCTCGTTTCCTTGTAGGACCAACATTCATTGTGGAGGCGTGAAAGATAGACACGTTAGATCCATAGAAAACTATTATTTTAGAATAAAAAGAAAACTATTATTTTAGAATAAAAAGAAAACTATTATTTTAAAATAAAAGAAAGATAAAGTATAGAAAAACACCTCAGTGGGTTGCATGATTTGAAAAATATATTCACTAGGTCTAGGTGTTACTAATACGATACCGTCTAAGGTTCTAGAATGAAGTTTGAGCCGTTCGTTTTAATTTAAGTTACATTGATTTGGACGTAGAATTGCATTGTAAAAGACCCGTTCGTTTTAATTTAATTTACATTGATTTGGACGTAGAATTGCATTATAAATTACGGGTACATGCACTCTAATAGAAACCTGCTTATTATTATTAAAGTTATTACTATTATGGGTTTTTGCACCCTTATATTCTAAAATTTACGTATTTTTAAAATTTGATAGCCAGAGTTGTTTTTTGACACTCCAAAGTTACATTTTATCAAAATTTGAAATCTGAGAGGGTTTTTTTGACATTTTGATATCTTAAAGTTTTATTGCTATTTAAATTTAGAGTTTTGCTACAGTAACCCAAAATATGGGACCAACAGGAGAGACATGTGTGATGTTCCCCTTCTATTGCATAAGGAGCTGGAGCTGGCCATCATTAATGATGACCACCTTATTATGCAATAGGAGGGGGACACCTCACCTCTCTCCCCTGTTGGTTCCATATTTTAGGTCATTGGTGAATTTTTCTTAAATTTAGTACCCTCCTTTTCACTAGCATTTATTTCTCTGGTTAAAATGTATCACGTACTTAATACGTGATAACGTTCAAAACAACAATACAATACATTTATGATGTAATATATAGTCGCTTTATCTCAATTTCTTCAATTCCTCTCGTTAGAGTTTTGGTGCGTCCTCTCAATAAAATGAGGAGGAATAAATGGGGTAGGGTGAATTTATTCTTGACTAGGAGGATATGATATATGGTCTAAATGAATCATGTGTTCATCATGTGCAGCATTTTAAACAATAAATAAACTACAGTGAAACAAGTACTGAAGTTAAGTAACATTTATAATTTGGGGTATCATGGTTGAAGAACTTGTAAGTTTTAGGTAGAAATAACCTTTATTATTATATATCAATACTGTCTTCATTTTTGTCATTTAAAATATATGTGAATTGCTTATCTTGGGCCTGATAATGATGGTTGCAGGTCCTAACAAATGGCAGATTCAGAAGTGTGAGGCACAGGGTAGTGACCAATGGTTCAAAATCAAGAGTCTCCATGATATTTTTCGGAGGGCCACCACCAAATAAAATAATTACACCTTTGCCCCAGCTACTGGGAGAAGAGAAGAAGAGCAGGTACATTGAGTTAACATGGGCCGACTACAAGAAAGCTGCCTATAAATCAAGACTGGCTGATAACAGGCTCGCCCTCTTTGAGAAACACATGACTTAATAAGAGGGAGAGAGTTACAAGGAAGAGAGAGCTCTACAGCCCTCTCATTGATTGATTTGTCTGCGATGCTTTGATGTTGGTGCCTGTGCCCTTTCTACTTTGGGCTGGCTGCTTGGTCAACAACAGGCTGGCATTCTATAGGTGACCTTTGCTTTCTCAACCCCTTCTAACCAATTATAGAAACAAAATAGGTTTCCCTTCTCTCTCCTCTCTTGCTCTCTCTTTCTCTCTCCTCTTTTCACCCCTAGATAGGCACTTTCGTGAATCATGCGGTGTAATGGAATCTGTCCACACCCACCACATGAATAGAAGAAATAGCTGGTCCTTTAGTTTAGTAAGATGCCTATGTCTTGTTCAACGTTGAAAGAAAGTGTTGATGTGGCTTTTGGTCAACACCATCAAGTATGATATAAGTCTATTATTACCTGTGACTATATTTTTAATCGTGTGATATAATGGAGATGATGTAGATGTTAATTAAACGCAATTAAATCTGATCTTAGTTTGCTTCTCATTCTTAAACTACATTATCCTTTAGTTATCAGTATTGAGACATCTTCTTCAGTAGCATTTCGTTTTTGAACTCAATTTCATAAAACAGGCCAGGAGATAATGTGACATATCATTTTCTAAGAATTCTAATCAAGATAATTGACTACCACATACACACACATCCTCGTGGGACTAAATGGCCCTATCAGAGTTATATACCAGTTTGTTGGATATGTATTCCCTCTCTCTATGGAGAAAATCTACAATATTTGGTGCCTAAATTGGTTAGGTCTCCATATTATATATTTCCTAAGTAGAGGGACATCATAGGACTCTGATTTGAATTCTTTCCTAACTTTAGCACGATTTATTTCTAAAATTTGTGAGATTTGATTGAAATCTATCAAATGGATTCTTTCCTCACTTGTGGGATTCTAATGAGGATTGATTAAAAGCCATGGACTATAAATACGGAGTAGTGGACATGATAGTTTGTGTGGTGCGCCAAGAGCCGTACATTGTAGGCGTCTAAAAATGCCTATAGGTGTCCGTACACAGCTCGAGACGGAAAAAAAAACAACGAACGTCGTTATCCGAGTCTAAGAGGGTTATCTGTCGTCAACAAGCGCATGAAGCGAAATGACGAACCAAATGGTCCGCGCGTATCAATCAGCTCGCGCGCGTCAGTCAACACGCGCGCGTCAATCAGCTCGCGTGCATCGGTCAACACGCGCGTGTCAATTAGTTCGCGCACGTCGGTCAACACACGCGCGTCAATCAGTTCGTGCACGTCGGTCAACACGCGCTCGTTAATCAGTTCGCGCACGTCGGTCAACACACACTCGTTAATCAGATCACGCGCTTTAGTCAACACGTGCGCGTCAATCAGTTCGTGCGCGTCGGTCAGCACGCGCTCGTCAATCAGCTTGCGCGCGTCGGTCAACACGCGCGTGTTAATCAGTTCGTGCGCGTTGGTCAACACGCGCGCATCAATCAACACGCACGCGTCAATCAACACGCGTACGTCAACCAACGCGCGTTCGATGGTCAGTGCGCCGGCGCGGGTCGGATCCGTCCGACCGGCGCCAGCGCGGGTCAGATTTCCCCCCGCGCGTTGTTTTGATCCCTGTTCGGTTTTTGACGGTTTTTCTCAGGATTTATTCGTTCCTGAGCATCCAAACTGATCTAATATCATCCACAAACATTGTTAATCAGTTGTTAACTGAATATAAGGAGGAATCATTCATTCTCTTCCGAAACCCCCAACTGAAGCCTATAAATACAGGCATAGGGGCTCATTTCACGAGGGGCGATTTATTATCAAGACGTGTAGGTGCTGCTGGATTGAGGAGTCTGGGAGCACGAATTTCAGCAAAGGGAAATCAGATCCCGGCAAACTCCGGCATAAAGAAGGAGCTATTCGAAGGATCTGAACCTCGTCCGTCCGTTCCTTGAGATTAGGCTTGGTCTTAATCCCGAGAAGAGCCCTGATTTCGCTTGGTCGATTTCAGCGCTTCAAATCAAACACTCCCTTGGTGAAGGCGAAGCTCTGTCTAATTTTGTATCCACCGGATCTAGATCTAAGATGGTCCATGGATAAACCCCGGCACAGGCAAAGATCCCACGCGAAGCAATAGGCGATAAACACCTGTTGCGTGTTGTTTGAACGAGAATTATAACTTTTATTTTCATTGTGTAAAGGTCTTATAAAAAAACCGATCTTTTTGAACTCGTTGTAACGATCGAAGTTATAATGAGTTATACAATGAAGAAAACAATTTTCAACGCAAACACGCTGGCGGCCACAGTGGAAGCCAACAGCTTCGCTACCGAAGCTGTCGTGTCACAACCTCGGATCTGCATCCCGGTTGAAGAAGTGCTCGAATACGAGTTCGACCAACTGAAGTTCGAGGAGTATCTATCCTCCTCCTCCTCCAGATTTTCCGCCTATTGCATGCGCAGGAAGATCAACGTCCCTGTTGCTGCGGTAGCTACACCTTGCAACGCCCCTCCGGCCTCCAACAAGGCCGGATCTGTAGATCTGAACTCCTCCTTAATTAGAGAGTTGAGTACTGAAGGCGTGCCTACATTATCGAAAAGAGCTCGCCAAAGACAGCACCAACTCCGCGCGCGTCAACTTGCTAAAGCTTTGGAGCCAGTTGACGGGATTCGTTACGATGCGGATCTGAAGTCCAGAGATGTCAACCCCCTCAACAGCCAACAAATGGCCTTTTCTCCAAGCCAACGATAAATGAATGGGCCCGCGTCAAAAGGACGCATTCAACGCTCGAAGAACGGATCCTGAAACGATGTGCGTTGCTTGCGCACGCGCGAATTCTTATGTAGAAAGCACAAAAGATGCAGAAGAAGGACATAGTTGGGAAACAACTAAGGTTGCATCAAACTTGGAGGCCAAAGTCCAAAACAGCGGCCGAAAAGATCGAAAAATGCGAATCACCCAGATCCAACCTTCCAGCTCGCGGGTCACTCAAATCCGACCCTCCAAGCCGCGGGTCACCCGAATTCGACCCTCCAAGATGCGGGTCACCCAAATCCGACCCTTCAGCTCGCGGGTCACCCAGATCCGACCCTCCAGCTCGCGGGTCACTTGAATCCGACCCTCCAGCTCGCAGGTCACCCAGATCCGACCCTTCAGCTCGCGGGTCACTTAGATTCGACCCTCCAAGCCGCGGGTCACCCGAATCCGACCCTCCAGTTTGCGGGTCACCCAGATCCGATCTTCTAGCTCGTGGGTCACTTGAATCCGACCCTCCAGCTCGCGGGTCACCTATATCCGACCCTCCAGGTCGTGGGTCACTTAGATCTGACCCTCTAAGCCGTGGGTCACCCAGATCCGACCTCCAGCTCGCGGGTCACTTAGATCCGACCCTTCAAGCCACGGGTCACCCAGATCCGACCCTCCTGCTCGCGGGTCATCCGGATCCGACCCTCCAACCCGAGGGTCACTTAAATCTGACCCGCGTCACGGTCAAGACAGAAGACGTTCTGCACCTATTTCGTCGATCCCTTCGAGTTCCGCACCTCCGGTGGAGCATCGCGACAGTGTGGATTTGTCCCGATTTAAGATAACGGATCGTCTTGGCTCTTCGTATGCGGATCGAGACAAAGTTCCGGTCAAAGAACGCTTGGGTCGGGTGACTGAATCCCGAGCAATTACTCGAGCTGGGGGTCACACACGAAAAACTCTTGTAATTGACTGCTTCGGATGACGAATTGGAGCCCAAGAGCCCGTCAAGAGTTTACGCTTACAAATGCGTGACTTTAAACGCATGACTCTTGAGAACGCCAACAAGACGGCAAATCCCCTGAAAGAAACGTATTCATCTGACGATGACAATGTTATATCAAGGAAGTCGTGCCAGCACACGATAGGTTACTCCGGTCGTCTGACTGATGATTTGTACTATCAGGCTGGGGATACGAACAAGTCTCGAAAGAGAAGTACCCACGAGTCAGAGTCTCACTACCCGTGCGCCAAGTTAATCAGGGCAGTATTATCAGCATGTAGCTACCCCAAGACCGCTCCGTAGAGGGTCTCAGTATTTGAGAGGATCTCTAACGAAGCGATTAAGCCCAAGTCAATACGTTTCCGTAAGAAATGATCTACCGTTCAAGGTGACGAACCTCTGGAAGTCACAATAAATATGGCTGATAAGGGAAAGTCAACTCGACCTTCTAGCTCTGACCCCCTCGTATCACATTGTCTGACTCGGCTATGCATAGGGACCACTAGACGTAGGGACTACCAAAGAATGCAGAGAGGGTTATTCTCGGATGATGAAGCATCAGATGCTAACTCTGCAGTCGCTTCTGATAATACGGTGTCCAGCCCAGGACAATCCTACGAGGCATTCATGATCAACACCGAGCAAATCGCCAGAATTCTCGAGGATGCTCTAACTAAGCAGAAAGAGGCATTCAAGATTGAAATAAAAATGGCTATGCTGCGGATGAGGGAAGAGCATGTCCAACAAATTTAGGCTCTGTCCAATTAGTTCGGTGAATCCAGTCGTCGCAACCTTGCTGACCAAGCAAGTAGCGATTCAGATGTGAATGAACATCTCAATGCTGAGAGCCCTCTCGTTGACCAAAACATTGGGGGTGGCCCCACTGAAGACAACAACACCGGGGGTGGTCCCGCCAATGATGACAACACTGGGGGTGGCCCCGTTGTTCCTCCCAGAAATCGTCCGAAGCATGATACAGACGAGGACAAAAAGATGAAGGACATCGAGAGAAAAGTCAACGCTCTGATGACTGATCGAGAGGTAAAGAAGACCAGGATTCCGTGTCCTTACCCGAGAGAGTGGGATTCGACCCCGTATCCGGCGAAGTTCAACCTGATCAACTTTACGCCGTTCGACGGGAATGGTTCGCCTACTCAGCATTTGATCTACTTTAAGTCCTACTTGGGTACGATCTCCGGCAATGAAGCATTAATGGTTCAGTCATTTGTTGGCACCCTTCGTGGGCCCGCCTTCGATTGGTACCGTCGTCTCAAGTCTGAAAGCATCAACAGCTGGGACAACCTGGAGAACCTGTTCCTCGCTAACTTCTTTGATGATGATGTCAAGGTGTCAATCAGGACACTCTTCGATGAGATGCAAAAAGAATACAAGACGGTCGACGACTTCGTCAAACGCTTCCGGAATAAGGCGATGAACTATCGAGATCCGATCACGGAGGACTTCATCCTCCAAACCTGTCACAACAACCTCTTCTTGGACATGTTGAAAGTTATTGGAGTAGCACCATCCAACACTGGAAAGAATTGAAGATGCACGGAGAGCGAGCCGAATGCTTCCTCCAAAAGAAGAAGGCCGAGAGGAGCCAATCGATGGCTAATCCTCTAAACTCAAACTTCGCCTCCCGGGATAAGAGAAAGGCACCTGCAACAGTTGTTGACGTTAATCAGACATCACAACAACAACCCCGAAGGCAGCAAAAAACTTCGGATCCGAGACTCCAAAAAGAGTACTCT